CTTTCATGATCTGAAAGTGTGTTTGACCAACTCAAGTTTAAGCTTTTAAACAGGACTATTTAATATCTCTAGGAAGGCAAACACACAGGTTAACACACAGGTGAACAAAATGTCTGCATCTTGCCTCAGCATCTGTTAGTGTTCAGTACTTAAGGGTTCTAAGAATGACATAATAAGGAGGAGAAATATTTTTCTGAGTGCCATAGGTGACTATAAAAGCCCTGAAGTATGAGATTCGTGCAAGGAAAAATGGCATAATCTACTGTCTTTCCTTTCAGAATTCCCTGAATATGCTGATGTATATAGACACCTAAAACCTTGTTCCACAGGTAAACAGAAAATCTGTTTTAATGACACAATTTTTGAAGTTCCATTTTTAAATAGTTTAGGTTCCTGGCTCACACTACCCTATCTGGAAGAACATTTCAGAACCTCACTCTTTGAAGGGTTAGGAAAACTTATTTTCCATTCCAAATTTAAGTGATATGTATTCTTTATCTTTAACAGCTTCTATCCCTCTTTAATATTTATCCCCTGAATTTAACTTTAAAGAGGAATCATATATCCTCTCAGACTTAATTTGCCTAGACTAAATCAAACTCCTTTGATCTCTCCACCTAAAGACAGATACTCCATTCTCTCATTTGTCCCAGGAGACTTTGAGGACTGCATCTGTTCTAAATTAAGTTTCTTTTTCTTGAGCACAGATGACCGGAACTGTACACAGTATTCCAAATGGAGATTTATTAGCATTTTATAAAATAATACAAAGAGCTTCCTCTCTCTACTAAAAATATACTTTCCAATATTCCCTAGAAGAGTATAAAGCTTTTTTACAACTGTATGATATGAACAAATACTGGTAACTGAGGGGGACCTTTTGATTCACCATATAATTCACATCTTTCTTTTTGCCCTCCCCGTTCCTCAAACCAATGCAAAACTAATACAGAATTAGAAGCTGTTTCTTACACCTTGTTACTTTACTCCAACTCTTCCTGAAGTGTGTCTCTCATATCTCCATTTGCTTTCATGTTCCTCTGAATGCTGCTTTTTATTAAAATTTGTGCTCTTTTGATGTTCACCCTTTTCTTCTTCTGTCCATATATGTTAGCTTCTCAAATGGACCATATAGTGTAAAAAGAGAAGGAGGTCTTCTGTCAGAATATGGAAAACATTTAATCCCTAAGAACTTTAAGAATAGTTGAATAGATTTGATGGCACCTGGTGTAATCAAGCAGGAACAAACTCCAAACCTAATAGGGAAGGCATCAAATAGCAGCTTTCAATTTTTATGTAAATATCTCATGGAGTGGATTGTATTGTGTTTCACTTCTCTCATCCAATATATATCTCATATATTTATATATATGAGAAATTCCATTCTTCACATAACTTTTATTCTGTACCAATCCATACCCTTCAGTAAGTTCTCACATACCACATTACAACACCCTTCAGCTGAACTCCACGATTATGAGCCAAGAGAGACCTCCTAGAAGTGTCTGAACTTCTTTCAGAGACCTCTCTGAAATAATCCTAATGTGCTGACCCCTGGTTTTTGCACCAAAGATCTTGACTACAATTTGCCAAGCCTTCAGAGTACCGTTTAATTTGCCTGTAGGTAAAACCTGAAATTGAAAAATTCTCATTTGATGAGAATATTTGCTTTAAATAACTTTGCAATTGTACCCATCAAAATAATCTCTATCCTTACATATTTTTAAAAGATGAACATACTTGTTCTTTTCAGATGAGACTGACAAATTGACAGTTTCAAAATGGCTTTTGTGTTTTATCTGCAAGCTTAAAATGTAAGTAATTCATGGTAATGCATGACTTTATGCCCATTTAAATTCCTGCTAGTTTCCTCAGAAATGTGAATATATTTCTGATATATATGTTCAGAAATTGAACAAGTTATAAAATACTGTGAAAAGAAGAACCAAGAACAGCATAGTAGCTGCTATAGAGAGCTATCCATGCTTCATCTCTTATTGATCCTTTCCCTTTTTATTTATTTGCTGGGCACATGGTTTCTTTTGCTAAATGAAGCAGCAGTGACTGAAGGCAATTCTGCTTAGATCTTCTCATTCACATTAAGTCATCTGAAGAAGTTCCATTCATTAGTATCTAATTTTGAAAATCCTTCTATGAAACAGAACGGCAAATCATCAACTTATATGAAAAGCTATTTTCCCCTGTTCTGATTCTATTCAGTTAAAATTTTTCTTCTCCATCTTTTCTGTACAGATGTCAATCTCTTGACATCCTCAGGACTGGATTTCTGGTGCTCTTTTCCCCACAACAGTTTTCACTTCTGTTATGAAACCAACTTTTCTTTAGTACAGAAATGTTACACTTGGTTACAAAAACAGATACATATTTCCTACCTGACTGTTTCAGGAAGAAATATATGACTGTGCTAATTTTGTTCTCAAATACTTTCACTACTGACTGCAAAAACCATCATTTGTAAGAGCTAGTTTTAGCTTTGTTTATTGAATATATAACTCTCTTTGAGAGAGTTTTTCAGTTTGTTAACACTTAAAAATATTGCTTCTGCTAGGCTTGTCTATTACATTATATATTATCATATACTGTTTTGTATTTATTTTTTTTGTTTTCAGAATGTAATTACAATCCTAGTCATCACAGAACCCAGGAGTGTTTTTACAGCATCTGAAATATAGAATATATTAAATCAAAGCAGTTTTACCTCTCTATAATGAAAAAAGACAATTAATTTCAGCTTTTTACATCTTGTAGTTGGGTTTCTGTTACTTCAGTGTAAACTCTTACATATTCCAGTGCCTTGTATTTTTTATCAAACTGTTATTAATTTCATTTATGCCCATCTCACTTATACACTGACTCCAAAATTTACATAAGAAATGCAGAAATCTTCCCTCAAGGCATCTTAGCTGGCACCCTGAGAGAAAGTCTCAGCATTATATAGCATTTTTAACAGAGATGAGGGCCTAGGGATGTTGCTCAAAGCTGTAGCTCATATCTTCTTCATTCATTTCCTTTATTGTGCTATTTGTAGCTCTCCTACCCTTTACTTTTGGCAGTAGAAATTTCTTATCATTTCCACTCTGATTACATTTTAATTCTCTGTATTACTTCTTTTAAATATCCCTTGTGATTTTTTTTTCCTCTATATTATTTTCCCACCACTTGACTAGTCAAAATTTTATTATTTTTCTTCTTAATTTTCTTTTTTTCCTCATCATTTGAGCTCATCTCTCTTTTGGGCTTAGTAACTTGACATTTTATATTATGGCATTGTCTCCTGATGTGTGTATTCAAATTAAGATACATCTGGAGATGAGATTGTATTACAGGAAATTTGTTTTTTCAAGAATTCTATCAGTTCCTCTCAAAATGTATTTTTTCCATTCCTCTCAATAATTTTAAATTTAATTTTTAATTTCTATTCCTAATTTCTATTTTTAATCCATGTCTGTGTCATTAGTCCTAACCCTAGTTTCTTGTTTACTAGTGTTAATCTTACTGAAACTCACCCCTACTGGGAATTTCAGTAACTTCATTTCTAAGATTTGATTTCAAGGCATGATTTTAGCAATACAGGCTTTTCTTTAGCCTTTGCTTCCTTAAGGAGTGTCTACCGACCCTACAGCCTCTGTGTGCTCTTCTGATTCATGAGCTCACAGTAACCCTATCTGGGGACAAATGCTTTTTAAGATAATGCTTTTATTCCAAAACCAAGAGAAATCATCTTAGGAATTGAAGGGCCCAGGAAGGGCTGAGAGGTACAGATAGTGCCATAACGGAGCACTTTGAGAATCCATTTCCCCCTGTGGCCTTCAGCAACCTCCAGCAGCAGTTGTTGAAAACAGAGATATAAACTGCAATCGATTTACATATCAACTCCCAGCAATAAAAAAACCCTCCGCTGTATTAAACAAAATCTTAAAATAGCATGCAATCTCACCTGCTGTAAAGAATTTTTCATGTATCAACGTAACATGGAGAATAATTTTACAATTTAAAGCATAAATGCCCAAAAAACCTAAGAATGTATTTTTAACTTAGCATAACTTCTTAACCCAAAAAGCATTAATTTTTATATTATCTATCAATTCATTTAGATGACCATTTTAGTTTTTTTTTCTTTTCCATAAATATGTCAGGAAATAGTTTACTTTGTTAGAGAAAAGAAAATCTGCTACTATTGTAACAGTGAGAAGAGGAAGAAATTTCATGGAGAAAATGTCCACATAAGAAAAATGAATAACTCCAGCCTTTAGGGGAAACTGGATTGCAAATGTAGGATTCAGCAAATTTCAATCCTATATGCTATGTACATAAAAGATTTTCCAATCTCAAACTCTTGTACTTTACAGTAGGAGATAAGAGGGAGTCATCTTCTTCCTATTCTTTATGAGGCTCATAAATCTAACAAATATAATATTGAACAAACCCTGGTATGGTTTTTTTTCCCAACACTGAATACCAAGCATACTGACAACATTACTCTGTTTTCAAAAAATACACCACCTGAAGACAACAGAAATAAGTTGCCAAAAGAGAGAAGACCCAAAGCTAAACTTAGTAGATTTGTCTACAATGAAATTGCATCACAATTCATAAAACAACCAAACAAAGATAGCAAATTCTTACTCAGTTTTTACTACCTCTTGACCCACATAAATATCCAATTTCAAATTAAACTTACCTTAAAGTCTAGGTAAAGACTGAAGAATCAGCCCAGAAAGTCTCAACTACAGAGATAATCTGTTTTAGTAAAAAATATACTAAAAAATATACTAAACTTTCTACAGCATTAAGTTATTTGGAAAAACACTGGGTGTGGTGCTGGTTTCAATTACACCAGGATAATTCAGAAAGAATTCACTGAAGTCAATGAAATCATTCCTATGAAAGATCAAAGTAAAATCATTAAATAGTAAAATTGTGGAGAGCAGGGCAATATATCAATATTAATACTTATTGGCTTTATAGTACGTTAAACATTATTCAACTTTCAATCCTTTAGATTTTAATTATGCACAGAGGATCTGCGGTAAACATCTCCCAAACTCCTCCATGATCATCTGCTCAACTACACAGTTGGAGTAACCTTTTTTTTCTGCATCTTCAGCTTGCAGCAGGAGACAAGCACATGCATTGCTTTCACTTCTTCCCAAGACATGCACAGAGCTGGTTGCCTGACAGAGAAAAAGAAACTACTATGAAATATCTCCATTCTAAATTTACAAAATAATTTAAAAGACAAACTGCAAAACTCCATTGAGAGTTGGAACACACAGAGCTGAATCAGAGTAGCCACACTGTTATAATAAGATACCTCCTTGTAGGAATTTCACTGTTCTACACTGAATAGCCTCTGCTTCTAACAGATTGCTTCTGAGTTTTTTCTCATTTATCACATAGCAGACTGTATTCTCACCACATAATTAAACTATGCCAATTCTGTTTAATGGGTGCAGACAGAGAAAGGTTAAACAACAAGCCTCTTACTCCATCTGCACGCAACATTCAGATCCTGCCCCACGTACAAGGAAACGCGTTCAAAAGGCTAACTCAGGGTCTAGGAGGTACTAAATGTAAATTCAGTTACAGGAAACAGCGCCAAGTGCTTCAAGGATTCCCTGAATGGCACATCAGCAGCTTTGCTTTGAAGAAACTCTTGAAAATACCAGTCGTTAACACCTTAACTCATTTTAGTACATTAATAATATAACATCCTATTGTGCGATACAAGTAGAGGTAAAACTTGGCATCATCTACCCCATCAATACACTATCAATAGTAGAAATTATTAAAATATATTACAAAGTATTTTAAAAATGGAAATAAAATAGGAATTTCAAGGTAATGGTGGATGCAGAGAAGGAAAGAAAATCATGTAGGGAAACTGAAAATTTTAGAGCCTGGAGCAACATTGCCTAAAATCAATTGAGATATTTTAATCAATTTTAAAAGTTTATTAACAGGTGCTTCTATTTATTAGGTAAATGACTATAAACCAACCAAAACCAGAGATTAGGCTACAACTATGTTAGAACACATAACAACATCAGGACAGTCTGGTCTTCTTGGAATATTTTACAATCCAAATTGCCAAGACAAATAAAATCGACAGGAGCTGGACCAAAGGCAGAAGAAATGGGAAAGAAGCACTGATACAAACACATTTATTAATTGAACATCACAAACATTAATCATACACTTTTCTTAATACTTCTTTGGTCAAGGTTTTGTTAGAAATGAATTCCTGCACGTGGAAAAATTCAAGAACAGAGAAACTGAAGGAAAAACAAAGTAGCTAAGGGGGGAAAAGGTTGAATGAAATATGTGATCAATACATAAGTAACTGCTGTTTTGTAAGCAGAACTACTACATATATCCCTGAACTCTGTATATTATATTCTTAAGGGATAGTTATAGTCTCAGCCTTAGGTATTTTTTAATTTATAGAAAGAAAAAGGCAAATGCTATTTGAAGCGACTCCTTGCTTATAAACCCTCTGTCCTTTTAGTCCCTATTTATTAGATACTTATGATAAGGGTTATACAAACACTTAGTGAAGTCAGACCAATGAATTATGCACTATTTCCAAATATTCACCCATCTTTCTTCAGTTTTGGTAACATTTTGAATGTTGATGTCAAAGCTGGGCTGTTCCCTTCATTAATTCCAAGGTCCATGTAGTTTCACACGTTCAACTGTTTTTATTCATCTGGACTTTCTTCATGATTTTTGCAACCAATTCATTTGCAAATAGGAGAACACATAATTTTATCCAGGTAAATGTAGAATACTTAGAATAAAATTTATATAAAACTTAAATTAAACATACATTTGAACAACCATTTGAGCCATAGCACCAGGGACTTATTCTAGATGTGCTTGTCTTGGACACTCAGCAAGACTATCAGTAACAATCAACTAAGGAAGCAAGACAGGTTTTTTTCCAAAGAATCTCTGTGAAGGTTGATGTTCTGTACATGGACAAGTCAGCCCTCCTGTCAATTTGTGGATAACTTTGCAATATAACAAAATACCACAGAAGAAAGGATTAGCAGAAAATCATTTCTCCTTTCTTCTGGAGCATGGGATTGGCTGAGAGCACCAGATCCTGAAAATTTTAGCTGATCAACTTTAGCCAGATTCTGTTCTTTAAAGAAATGACTTGAAAAAGACTTTGCCTCCCATGTTGAAAAAGTTTTATGATGAGAAATGTAAAGAAAGAAGGCAAGTGATTATTTTTAGCCTCTGCTAGTTACAGAATCTAGTAAATGTTAAGGTAGTAACTGACAAGACGAAAGTTCACCTGTCTCACTCACAATAATTCTTGAGGCATTCTGAGCACTTGCAATTACATCCTTTGTTATGGTTATGTTTATTCTCCTAGTTTCCTTTTCCCAATCTTTGGTAAGAAAGCTTCTGGGTTTCTATCAAGACAGGCCTTAAACAAAAATGGCTCGATTATGAGAAATGTTCTGCTCATTGCAAAAATAACTAAGAATAAAAACCTGACCACATGAAAATAACCTTAATAGAAGAATCCACCACCATTTTGTCAGCTGGGAATCTGAGCATAGGATGCTTTTACTCTATGACATTAAGTACATTTAGATTCAAATGCCATAGACTTAAAAGATTTTGATAAAATAAGAGATATCAGAAACAAATAAATATATTTATCCTGAGTTTTTATTTTACAAATTTCCATAGTTCTGTGAGAAAAACTGAAACAGAGGTCTTTAGCTTATGAAAAAAGATTACTAAAAACCCATGGTGAAAACCATAGCTGTCAGACTAAGTCTTTGTGTAACTCCTGGTGAGGAACTGCAGAAAATAAATGAGCACTCAAGCTTATGCAAAAACAACCAAACATTGGTCATTGTAAGATTACAAGATGAATTTTAAACTTGTATTTAATTCCTTCCCACCTAAGGAAAGAAAAAAACCCCCAAGAAACCACAGGACATCTTAACTCTAAAGCTGAATAGTCCCTAGAAACTTATAATTACTTAAAAAAGACAAAAGCTCAAGCAAATAAAAACTAAAAAAGATATGCCAGCACACTCCTCCTCAGCTTATTCTTCCCTAGCATTACAGCAAATGAATGACAGTTTGAATTTTATACAGGAACATGACCTTTAACTTGAATATGCCTGGTTTACTCTTCTGATGGTTTCTGACAAATACAAGCAAACAAGGTGCACACCTGGAGCATTTGCTGAGAGATGTTCACCCACAGCACCCGTTGCTATTGAGAGCAATATCTGTGCTTGTATGGTGCTTAATATTAAAAGACTTTGGTTTTGCACTGCCATCAGAATAAAAGACCACATAAAATTACAGTAATAAATAATGAAATAAAGCATGTAAATAATATTTTCGTGGAAGCTATATTTAGGTAAAGAAATATTTAATAATATTAAATAATAAATTAATAATAAATAATTAATAAATAATACATTAAAACTAAACTACACTCAAATTCTCTGCTGCTGTTAAAATGAAAATGTGTTACTCCATCGAAATAGCATTAACTTTAGGACCTCAGAAACCACTTTTAACAACCGATGGCATTTCAAGTTCACATAGTTATCTAAATATTATTGAGACATTCTGAATTCCAAGTCCGAAGTGTACCCGTAGCACTCAATGCTGCTCTTCATTTATAGAGAAACAGTGTCACTTGGTGGCAAACAAGGGTAAATGCAAATGTATGCAGGAGCTTGTGCTAAATGTGTTTTATATGGAAAGTAATCTCTATACTAAAAGCTTTCAATAATTTGAACATACCATTACATCATTCTTATTGCACTGGAGGGCCTAGTAATTTTTCATTTATAAAATGAAGTAAAATGTTAAGTGGTGGTATCTACATTACCTTTGGCTCATCTCCCCCTGTTGCTGCTTAAGAACATAAACACATGCAATTGTAAATTAAGAATCTATGATATACTATGACAGATTAGAGATAATTTTCATTTTTACTGTACCCAATTGAAGATAATTATTTTGGTCATGATACTCAGGAATTAGAGGAACTAGTTTTAGGTTTTGTGTGCCAACTGTTTATACACAGTATTTGAGTACCTACTTCCAACTGGCAGACAACCTGTAATGAATAACGATTAGTTTTAATCTAAGAAACTGTAATTATACGCACATAGATATAAAAGCTTTCGTAAGACTGCCACCCATCCTATAAAGCTTTATAGTCACAGACTGGAATCTCTCAAAGAATTGAGCATCAAGATGTTTGCTTTTTGACCCTTAATTTTAATCTACTTTTTGAAGCACCTATTGAGATCTCACACTGTAGCTCCTCAACATACCATTGTAACTGTTCATGTTTCATTTGATTTATTTAGTTGTGATTTTAAATTGAGACTTTTCCTTTGGAAGAAGCAATCTTCAATCTTCACGTAGGTGGGTTTTTTTTTAAGATGTTAACTAGAAAGCAACATGTTATATAAATACACATACATATATATATATGTATCTGAAAAGTAGCACTATAGCTAGATAAAATTTAGATTGTGAGTCCAAGGAAAGGACTGCCTTATTATTCTTAATATGGCACTTACTAAGTGGGACTTTCCAGGCTAGTGGGGTACAAGTTAGTTAATTTTCTCTAGCATGTAATTTTGCTATCAGTTACAGCATATAATTACCACAGAGTTGGAATAATTTCTGGGTGAACATCTGGATTCCTTCACCACACTGTGCAATGCAGTCAGACTTACCAACATTTGAACTCTGAAAAATTGCTGTGTCTTGGTGATTCTCAGTAATGTTACTAACTGCCTCTTACCTCAGCCTGAAATAAAAAGTTTTAAATCTTAACAGGCACACTTTAAAATGTACTTTAAATTCCAAGCAAACACAATAAATTTTAAAATTTATCTGCATAAATCATGTACTTTAAAGTGAGGGTCGTATTCAAACCTAATACTGAGAATAGTTAATTTACTTATCAATGGCAGAATGACTTTTGTTTATATTTCAAATAAAAATATTCCTGAAGAATGGCAATGAACAGTAACATACTTCACAGTTACAATGGGGTTCAGTGTCTCCAACACCATGAAGCGTCATCTAACTGGCCCTGAAGAAGTTAGGCAATAGTCACAGCAAATTATGTAAAACAAGAATTCATCTCGAATTATATAACTTGACGGAGGATAATTGGGATTTAGTGCAACTAAGAAGCAGTCATCTGAGACTGGACTCCAAATTCATCTATACCTATAAATCAGATTGTTCCAAAACAAACCACTGTGTTATGGCATTCCATCATAGATGTGGTGCCATTCACATTTGTTGAAAACCAATTTTTCACCCATCGTGCCAATCTATTAACTCATTACAGTGTCATCCTCACAGAAGTCACACTTCCAGATGAAGCCTTGCCCCTCTCGGTACACACTTTAAACACCAAATGGACAACCTTGAAAAACCTGTTTATAAATTTCCAGTACCTTTCAGAGAAGTCTTTCATTAAATACTTGAATTTCTATAATTTGTTTTGCTCATATTTAGGAATTTATATTTGAAAATCCAAGCATTTTAAGAGAATAATTAAGTGGCAAAGAACATCTCTCCATAGGCAGGGAATGCTAACGTTAAAGCCAGATTTGCATTGTCAGCTCTGTTCCTTTATATACACTGCACGTGGGAAAGAGGCTCAAACACCAATCAGCTGCTCAAGGTTATTTGGTGCAGTCCCACGAGGCAGTTTGTGTTCAGATTGCCTTGGGAGAAGACTTTCTAACTGTCCTGAACTGGAACCAGTAGTAGCAAGTGGCAGACAGGAGCCAACCAGACTTGAGCCTTGAGGAACAGAAGCAGGCAAAAATTCCAGATGCTATTTTGCCTTCTTCCATAAAGTGGCAGTGTTGGAAATCTACAGAGCAACATTTTTCTTTTCCTTTCTTTTGTGAAGAGATCAGACAGGACAATGTTTTAAAGTACCTTTTACCCTCTGGCACTTAGAATAAATCCCAGTGGTCGGATGGATTCTTCCAACAATAACAAAATCTTACATGCATACTTACTATTTCATCATACACAGAAGCACTAGTCTGAGGTAAACCACAGATATCACCAAAATGTTCTAGTACACAAAATAAAGCATGTCTCATTTAGAGAGAGATTAGTGTTTTATATCAAGAACTCCATTGCAGCATCAATAAAAGATTTTGACGTCACTACAGCATTACATTCTTGTGAAAGAAATACTTAATAGTTATTTGTAACACTCTTGTTGGGAAAAACAGACTTCAGTTTGGGTCTTTGATGTCTTCAAAACAAAACCATTTATTCTTATGTACATTTGGAATTATGAATGATATGTACACTTGAAGAAGAGAATTTTTTACTTACAACTATTCTATATATTAAATGATTCATTTTTAAAATGCCAAATGAATACCCCCCCCCCAATTTAAAGCGACCTTGAAAATGGGAAGTTATTTACATTTTCATGACATAATTAAGCACATAAATGCTGCAACCTGTTCAGTATTATAGCATTATATACCTTGAATTTTTTTTCTGTTTTTTCTGTTCAGTATACAGTCCAGGTAGAGATCTAATGCATTTACAACTATAATAGCATCATACTTAATACCTACATTTGTATTTTCAAAAACAAACCAAACGAACAGAAAATGGAACAAAGACAGAAACCAACTATTTTCTAGTTTCAAGTTAGAATTTAGATTGTTTGAACTTGACAATTTGCTCTCCACCTGTGTGTGCTGTGCTTCCTCTTTATATAATATAGGCAGCAGTTTAGGAAGGCAAGCAAGCAATGTAGAAGCCAGCAATCAGCTTTCTTTATTTCAATAAAATGATAAGCTGATCAGAATTTCGTTCTAATACCTTCAAGAAACAGGTCAGATTAAGGGAACATGCAGATACAGTGTGATAAACTGTAAGGATACTAGGAGGAGTTGGTCGGAAAGATTTTTCTAAATCTTTCTATATTTCTAAATTAGCTCCTTGTACAGAGACTAACAAACTTTCATTATCTTCAACTTGACTTTGAAGAAAGCAACTGTTACACCTTAATCACATATTTATTATCTAGAGGCTTCCATCAGTCTTTTAAATCTTATTAACAGTTCAAAAGATTGAAGGTCTCAATTATTAAAGAACTACTGATAACATTGAGCATGAGTGTAAAGAACCTTCCAAGCCAGAGATACTTTTAAACCATAACCATAATCAGAAACCTGGAAGAAAACCAAAACATATAAGGTAACTGTCAACAGCACCCTTCAAGCATCTCAGGATGAAATGACACTGGGAAGACCCACTGGGCTAGGTAGTGCAGCAATGATTTCTGTGATAGAAGGTTTCCTGCACAGGCAGCCCTGAAGCTTCCACCTTGCTTCAGCCTGGCACCTGAGGGGGATACTGCATGGGAAAATCAGACCTTTTTTTCAACTAAGTGATTTTTGTGAGTTTTGGGGTTTTTTTTCAATGCCCATGATTTTTAAATTTGAGACCAGCACAGTTTGTCAAAACATTTACATGGAAAAGAAGTCAACTGGTATGTTCAATTATTTCAAGACAGCTTCTCAAAGGAAATCTCAGTGCCCCTCTAGAAGCAGCCACAGTGCAAACTTAGAATTTGGAGATTTCTTCAGATATTCTTTGGCCATCAACAAAGATGCAAGGACACACAGGTATTCCACACATGGATAGCCTGCATTAAGCAAGTGGGTTTGGTCCTGTGAGCCCCACAAGAAGTTTTATGCTGTGGACTTTTCAAGATAGTAATTGATCCAGCTTAGAAAACGTAACTTCCAACTACACAGAAAAACTGCTAGACGTGGTAAGCAATGGGAAATTCCTCTCTTTTACAAAAGTACTTTCCCCATGGAGATTTAACAATAGAAGCTACAGTTTACTGCTGCAAATAAATTACTTTTTAACTCATTAGGACTATAAAATTGAAGCTGAAAAGGTGTATCAGCTGTGGAACTAAAGAACAGAAGTTAGTATCCTATTTGCACATTGTACAATTGTCTAATAGTTGCTAATACAGACAGTAATATGTAGAACCAAAGTGGGTGTATTTGTGACGTGGTAATGTTTTTAATGAGCAAAATAACTACTCAACCATTTTAAAATATGGTTCATAACATGGACAAACCCTCCAGCAGCTGAAATCTTATGTTCACAGTGTATGCTATTTCTGACAATATAAACCAGAAATTTATTTCTGTATGTACTACTAAGTTTGTTCTAGTAGAAAATTTAGGACATGACTTCAAACATTATGTGGATCCCAAATACAAGTTTTAATGTGGCAATTTCCCACGTTTAAGTCACAAATAATCATGAATACATAAAATTCCTATTTCACTTAATATTACTGGCATAATTTCAACATTTTCATTGACTGTTCCTTCAGGAGAAAAAATGTTTGAAGTTGGAAGACTGAAATTTTAATGCAGCATTGATACAGAAGAAAGAAAGTGGACACAATTTGAAGGCAGACAAGGCTGACTCCATATGTTCAGATTCTTCTGAGAGATTTAATTCCTTGTACTTTTCAAGATCTTCATCACAGCTGTTGTTTCTACATGGATGTACTTCAACTTTTACCACTGTAATTTGATTTTCAATGTTAAGTGGATACTTAAAGCCATCTAACAAAGTCTCTCCTACATTTACAGTGCACAAATTATTGTCTTGACTAGATGCCAACCCTACTCCAACAAAATTATTCATTGCTGCAATTTCCAGATTAAAGTTTTCAGAACAGGACTATTTTGAATACATATTTCAGTTACGAGTCCACTGTTTATTACTGATCTTATATGAAGCAATATCTGATTCTCTTAAAGTCTTTGGCAGACTATCAAGTGCTTCATATTTGTTCTTTTTATCGAAGACAAATCTCCTATTTCAGTATTTTGAATAGTTTTTCTGTCTGAAAGTGAATGAAATATTCTTAACTAAACAACACACATATATATATAATACTGAAGATTACCCTAATTAACATGTAACTGAGAAACTTTAAAACAGAATGCTGGGAGAATTCTTTTGGGTTCTGAATCTAACTTTCAGAACATACAGGCCACCATACCAATTAAAAAAAAAGCTGCTTTTACCGTAAGAATGCATTCTTTGTAACTTTTAAACACATTAACAGCATTCAGACTTGAATCAGAATTTCGCTATTTGGCTTTAGTAGTCAAAAAAACCCTCTATCATGTAGTACACTTAGCTGTAATAACACTGTTTTAAATTTGTGTCAGTATCATAGAATATCCTGAGTTGGAAAGGATCCACAGGGATCACCAAGTCCAGTTCCTGGCCCTGCACAGGACAGCCCCAAGAATCACACCATGTGCCTGAGAGTGTTGTCCAAGCTTCTTGAACTCTGTCAGGCTTGGTGCTGTGACCACTTCCCTGGGGACACAGGGCATTAAGACCAAACCTTATCTGTACTCTCAATGTCACTATTGCCAGTTGCCAACAACACAAGCCAAAGCACCTCTACCCAGAGTAACACAAGGTCGCCACCAAAAAGACAGGCCAATATCCACCTGCGCTTTCATTATTACTATTTTTGGATTTAGGTTAAGGCAATACTGGGAGGGTCAAGGTCCCCATGGGCCCTGAACTAGGCCAGGATATGACAGCTCTTCAAAGATTCAGATCTCTCTGCCCATATGCATCAACCACCACTGGCCTAGGACCTGTGCAGTGAGGGATAGGGAGGGTTTGGATGCCCTCCCGCTCCCCCACCCCTCTGTCCAGAGCAGATGGGGAGGTGACAGGCCCTACCTGGGGCATCCCAGGCGCTTCAGAGGGCACATCCTTGGTTCTACCCAGGCAATTCACCTTCCCCCAGGTGGGCAGTGACAGCTGTGCACCAGAATGTTAACGGAGCGGGGTCCGCGCTGGAACGCCGTGTCCAGGCAGGGGCAATGGCAGAGTGCAGGCATGGCCTAAGAACCAGGGTGTGTTTGGGGGGATTTTTTTTGTTGCTGTTCCTTCTGTGTTTATTTAAATTCCCTTGGAAATTATCCCACATTGCAAGGAGTCAAAGATTAACCAGGACCCTGGTACCG